CGTAAAAAAGACAAGTCTTATTAATGCCATTTTTTCTAATCTTTTTACGTTATAGGAAAGGTACAGACAGATCACCTTATATTACTTTTAAGTACAAGTTTACCTGGGGGCGTTTTGCATAAATAGAGACTGTCTTGACGGGGGATGAAACATTGTCCCAGCGTATAGAATAAGATTAAAAACAATTTATAAGAAAATATAATTTCGATGAATTAAAGAAAGCGGGACGGTGTTTATGAGAGCAAGTAAGGCTGGTAATAAACTGAAAGCATTTACAAAACTAACGTCCACTTGAATTAACACGAGAGAGAGGCACCAGCGTGTTGTCGTTGTTGCATGCACAATGTGCAGACCGCAACAATACAATGCACGTCCATCATAAAAGAAAAAAGCTCTCTTCAGCCTTGACGGACAGCAGATATTTCCATAAAGTATTTAAGTCGTACTCGCTTTTGTAAACTTAATGCCATAACATGCAGAACACAACTATATCACTTTGCAGTTATCCCGTTCATAGCAACGTACTGTGTTTACAGATACGTAGGCAGGGTTCTTGCCATCGTATGGAATCCTATTGTTGGGGAATAACCCCATAACTTTTAGGTATTTCAGGTTAAGCAAAACAGTTATTAATCGAGTCTTGTTACGTTCACAACTATTTTTCAGTATATACCAGGGCCCATCTAGCTAAAATGTGCCGGAGGTCGGTAAGACTAAATAAGTTCTTCAGGCCACAAAAGCCATGCAAACTCAAACTCAGATTGTAGCTGTCATTCCACAGTAACGTTTTGTCTTCATCTTTTAGACACATCTTTAAAAGACGCAAGTTGTTGCACGTGACGCCGTGTATCGCAAAGAAAATTGGTTAAAAGATTAGTANCGGCATTTTCTCTAAAGAGGCTACTACACGTAGTCAAATTTTTAATAGTCAAAATTGCAGCGCTTTCAATTCTTCAAATTTGTATGATTTTCACTCATTTTACTATATTTTTATAGACCTTTTGTTGTTCAAGTTTTAGGGCCTTTAACGAGTAAAATATAAAATAATCAAATTAAATCTATTTAGAGCAAACAATTAGTAAAGTGGATAACTATGTAAAAATGAAGTGAGATTAACTATCTAATACGATTTATCTTAAAATCACTCAACAAAAACTAGTGATAGTGCTTAACACTTTCACCTATGAAAAAATGAACAGTGCTTTTAACTACGCTACACCACACGCAGATGTCGACTCTACGCAGAAAATATAGATTCGTTTCAGTTTTTTTCGTGCAGTGCATTTATTTGGCCAGTAGCCCATGTATAAACAGAATTAGACGTGTTGCGTTCTTGTACATTTTAATTATCATCTACCAAAGCAACACGTTGTATATACCTAAACCTCTAATATCTGGGGCATCTAAAATAGTAAACAAAATTAGAGTACAGACCGATACAATTATTTTGTAACAGACAATTAGAGGACCCTGTGTTCGGAGTGTTCAGAGGCACATTTTCCACCAGCCACAGTTAGAAGATTGACCACATTTAGCCCGACATTATCTGTGAATATCCAGTGAAAAATCAATCTGTGGCCCTGGTAGTGAGTAGTATATACCCCTAAATAAGGTTCAAGACTGGTGTAATTATGCCTCGTGATTTATGTTATATAAACCTAGCAATGAAATCTAAGATACGTGCACCTGCCCCGCCTACCAACAGTTTTGATTACGTGAATAAGTAATGCCAACCCTGAGGTTCGAAGTCTTAACCATGAGTCCCGGTCATCTACACCGGTATGAGTCCTCCGGTAATGTTATGACTAATACATGTAGTATTTTTAAACTCAGGGTGTTTCTTCATAACGCAATACGTATATATTTACATGCATCACAGTCACAAAGCAATGTCTATAACACTTCAAAACAAGATTTTAGTTATATGAAACCACTCCATGGCTTAAGCCTACTTGGACTATTTATCACCGATATGCAAATAATTTAATAAGCGCATGTATCAACCCGCTCCACGAAGACGGAGACAAAGTGAACTGGAACACAAAATTCTGTCACAGAACGACCTGGACAACGATCAGTGTTGACTACCCTTCATCTTCACTATGTGTAATAATAATAATAATAATAATAATAATAATAATAATAATAATAATAATTAACAAGGTAAACGCGCTGTGCAACCGCCAACACGACTGCAGTGAATGAGCACTGTGTGACACATGACAATGTCACTAGGATCGTTTTTTTTTTAAAGATCAACATGGGTCTAGTGTGAGTGCGCCCCTGTACGCTTCACCTCATAGGCCCTTGTACACATAGTTATAGAGGCGAGGACGATCATATCTTTACGATGGCATATTTCTGCGATATCTTAACATCATATTTCAAGCACACACAAGGTTCTTTCACACAAAAATTGCATATACATGTAGGCACCCGTTCTTCCGATACATATCTATCATGTACTCTTTTGCTATTTCTGTTCTTTGCCTTTAGGTTCTTATCAGCGCATATCTTTTTAATGTGAAAATAAGATTTATGTCCCTGTCGCAAGTTCTTTGATTGAAAAGAATTGCAGAAACAATGGAGAAGATGATTATTCAACATAAATCACTGCCTAGACATATACCGGGGTCTTTTTTTCATATCAATGCCTATTCGACTGATCATATTTGGGTGAAGGGTATTAACGTTTATAGAAGTGCTTAGATTTATAATCCGTTGTCAGATTAAAAGAGGTCGGTAAACACACAGATAAAATGTAAACATGACATGTATGCAGTGCGCTCTTTTTAGAGCGGCTTATGTAATGTTCACACACACACACACACACATGTACGCGAAGGTCATCCTAAACTAGTTGTGCATGAATATTTTCAACGTAAAAAACAATTGTTGACAAATAAACATCATACAGTTTCATTCATGCAAAATTCCGTCCTTTGGGAAAATAGTTTTAGCTTTTTTTGTTTAAATTTAGCTGACAGTTATTTTGGGAAATACAAGCTAATCATTGTGGTGTCTACATTCACCCCGTCTCTCTCTCTCTCTCTCTCTCTCTCTCTCTCTCACACACACACACACACACACACACA